TGCTGCTGCTGCTCCGGAAGCAGCGCGTAAGGAGGAGACACAGCTAAATGCGTTGCTGCTGCCAAACTGGGCCCTTCCCTGCAGGGTTCGGGTGTATAGGCAGCAGGGGCCCCACCCAGGGGCCCCCAGGGGGCCCCCCCGGGGGCCCCCCCAAGGGCCTCCCCGGGGGGCCCCCCCAAGGGCCCCTCGGGGGGCCCCCTCGGGGCCCCACGGGGGTCCCCCCTGGGGGCCCCCAGGGGCCCCTCTCGGGAGGGTTTAGCTGCTCTTGGGGGGCCCCCTTCTGCAGCAGGAGATAACTCGTCAAGGGGTACTGGAGGCAGGGGGGCCCCCCTTAGGGCCTCTTCAAAAGAAAAGGGTTTAGGGGGGGGGGCCCCCTCCTGCATCAGCCACAACGTGTAGGGGGGGCCCCCAGGGGGCTCTGAAGAGAAAAAAGAAATCTTAAAATAATTAAATTAATTGAATTAATTGAATTGATTGAAATAATTAAATTAATTAAAACGGCTATAATAATAAAAGAGTTGCAATAAGTAAAAGAATTGAAGGGAGTTGTGAAAAAGAAAAGGAGAGAAAAAAGATAAAGACAAAAGAGATAAAGAGATAGAGGAGGTAGAAGAAATCAAAAAGATTAAAAAGATTAAAAAGATTAAAATATTTAAAAGATTAAAAGATTGAAAGATTGAAAAGATTGAAAGATTGAAAAGATAGAAAGACGGAAAGAAAAAAAGAGAACAAGAGAAAAATAAAAAAAGAAAATGAGAAACGAAAAAGAGAAGAAAAGAGCAAAAGACAAATGAAGGAGACAAAGAAGAAAAGAAATAAAAAAGAAATAAAACAGACAAAAGAGAAAAAATAAAAAAAGAAATTAAAAAGGAATAAAAGGGGGATGAAGAAGAGATAGGAAGGAATGAAAGGAAGACACAAAAAAGAAATAAAAAAGAGACCAAAAAAATAATAAAGAAACAAAAAAGACTTAAAAAAAGACAAAAAAGATATAAAAGAAGTAAAAAGATGAAAAGAAAGTAGACAAAAAGGAGACAAAAAGGTTTAAAAAAAGAAAAAGTGTAAAAAAGAAATTGAAAAAGAAATTGAAAAAAAGAAAAAACAGAATTAAAAAAATAAAATAAATTAAATAAAAAAATAAAAAAATAAAAAATTGCTGACTGGAAGAATCCACTTGTTGGCGAGGAGACTCTTGAAAAGTGTTTTGTTGGTGTTTATTTTTGTTGAAATTATATTTTTCATTTATTTCATTTTTTTGATTTTCTTTTTTTTCGTTTTCTTTTTTTTCTCTTTTTTCTTTTTCCAAAAAGTGTGGGGTTTCCGGCGGAGTCGCGGGGTGTCTGTCCACCTCGACAAGTTCTCTTTTCACAAATTTATTTATTTCTTCTTTTTCATTTTCTTTTCTCTTCTTCTAAAACCACCAGCAGCACCACAAACCCTAAACCCTCGCTCACACCCCAGACACGAAACCCCAAACGCCGCGAGGGTTTGGGGTTTAGGGTTTAGGGTTTACAGTTTAGGGTTTAGGGTTTGCAGTTTAGGGTTTAGGGTTTAGGGATTAGGGTTTAGGGTTTGAGGCTTTCAAGAGGGTTTGTGGGGCAGCTGGCAGTTGAACGGCTCAGAACGCAAGCTGCATAACTCAGTGGCTAGGGTTTAGGGTTTAGGGTTTAGGGTTTAGGGTTTAGGGTTTACCTGAGTCTGGGCGAGAAGCTCTCTGCGGCTCATCGAGGGTTTTCCGAAATTTGGCATTTTTGTGGTTTGGGGTTTGAAGGAACATTCAGCTGAAAATGAAGTTCAAATAAAATAAATAAATAAATTAAATTAATTAAATTAAAATAATTAAACTAAATTAATTAAGTTAATTAAATTCGTTAAACTAATTGAAATAAGTTAAATGAATTGAAGTACTTAAAGGGAATTAAATTGAATTGAATGAATAAAAGCAAATAAAATGAATGAAATGAAATAAAATAAGTAAAAAGAAACAAAACAATGGGAAATAAATGAATAAATAAAATAAAATAAATAAATACAAAGAAATAACATGAATAAAAAAATAAAATTGAAAAAGAAATAAAGAGAACTAAAAGAAACAAAAAACGCAAAAAGACAAAAAATGACAAAAAACAAAAAGAAATTAAAAAGGCAAAAGTTATAAGAAAGGAAAAAACAAAAAAGAAATAAAAAGGAATAAATAAACAGAAATACAAAAGGAAATGAAAGGACATAAAATATATAAATAAACAAAAAGATAAAAGAAATAAAAAACAAAAGGAAAGAAATAAAAAAGTCAACGGAAATAAAAAGAAACAAATGAACAAAAATATGAAAGAATTAAAAAGAAATAAAAAGAAATGAAAGGGATAAAAAGAAATAAGAGACAAGAAAATAAAAATAAACAAAAGGATGAAAAGATATTAAAGGTAAAAACAAACAAGAAAAATATAAACAAATAAAAAGGCAGAAATATATGAAAAGAAATAGAAGACAAACAGAAAAGGAAAAGAAAATAAAAATATTTAAGTAAAAAAGATAAAAAGATTAAAATAAGCAAAAGTTGAAAGGATTTAAATTAAGAAAAGAAATTAAAAAGACAAAAGATATAAAAAGAAAAAAGATCCACAAAGATATAAACCAAAAATACGAAAACACAAAGATATAAACCAAAAATACGAAAAGATATAAATAAACAAAAAACACAAAATAACTAAATCCTTTTAAAATAGTTCTTTTTTAAATTCATTAAAGTAAATCAATTGAATTAAATTAATTAAACTAATTAAATTAAATTACTCGAATTAAACTAATTTAATTTAATTAATTTAATTAAATCAATCAAATTTAATTAACTAAATTAAATTAATTAAATTAAATTAATTAAATAATTCACCAAGTTCTTTTTCTCTTTTTAGTTTTTGAATTAATTCCTTTTGTTTTTCTTTTCTTTCTTTTCCCAGGGCAATATGGGCTGCGAGGTCCCCAGCAACAGCCTGCAGCAAAACCATTCGAAGTCTTTTCACGTTTGCGAAAATAAATCAAAAAGAATAAAAAATAAATTAAAAATAAATTGAAAAGTAGAAAATAAATCAAGAAAAACAAACGAGGGATAATCCCGCGAAAAAACCAAACGAAACTACGCCAAAACAAAAAAGAACGAACGAAAAACCACCATTTAGGGTTTAGGGTTTAGGGTTTAGGGTTTGGGCGGGCCTGCAGGGCAGAGCTGAGCCTCTTCAGTGCAAAAGCCCTCCCCGCCTGGGCCTGCGGCCCCCCGCGCCGCCTTCCAAACCCAGGGCTTAGGGTTTAGGGTTTAGGGTTTAGGGTTTAGGGTTTAGGGTTTAGGGTTTGGGAGTGGGAGCAGGTGCGGTGTACGTACAGCGGCGGGCCGCGGTGTACGTACACCCGAGTGGGGTGTACGTGCACCGCAGTGGGGTGTACGTACACCCGAGTAGAAGCTGCGGGCGGTGGGCAAAGTGCATTTCCATTTATTTTTAAAAGCTGCAGAAATTAAGTTTTTGGAATATCTCAAGTTGCTGTAAATGCTGCAGCCGCTGCAGTCTGCTTCCACCCACTGCAGCAAACTCTCCACGAAGCAGCGCTTCTCCACGACGCCTCTGCAGCAAAACCCTAAACCCTAAACCCTAAACCCTCGAAACCCTAAAAGGGTGTTTACGTCAAACACTTTTATTCCCTCTTTTCGCAAGCGATGGAGCCACCAATGCATTCGC